GGATAGGTCATTGGTGCGAGGCTGCTAGCGAGCTATATCCACCCTGAAGGTTAATCTTGGACAATATCTGATGATCGACTCTTTTAAATGAAACCAGAGAGCGTTGACAGAGAGGAGAAGGTAGAAATGACTCAGCTTAGCCTGTTAGCCTTTGCGCTAGCACCGACGCTGTATTGCCTTATATGTATTAGCTTGGCATCCATATTTTCAGTTCCAGGCTGAGTCATTTCTACCTTCTCCTCTCTGTCAACGCTCTCTGGTTTCATTTAAAAGAGTCGATCATCAGATATTGTCCAAGATTAACCTTCAGGGTGGATATAGCTCGCTAGCAGCCTCGCACCAATGACCTATCCACGTCATCATTTACGCAGAATGCTTCGCGTATAAATAAAATGGCCCCGTCCGTGTTAAAATTTATTTTTAAAAATGTACAAAACTAAACAGCCTACAATATTTTTACAGTCTTTATTTTACAGTTAAAATAAATGTTTATCAAATAAAGTCTAATGTTACAACTAATCGAGGATCCCTTTTAAGATATTCAGAGCAGTTTRTGCAGTAGCTAGTTCCTAAACCTCCACACCACCATCAGCTTAGTGTTGCGTCGTTATCTTTACAGAATTATGCAATTATTTGCAAGTGCAAAGAGTAGCAGAAGAAATTAGTGAACATGAGCTGTGCTAATATAATTGCAGAAATGGACATTAAGCTGCCCATCTGAGGGACGTTTGGTTTTCAAACTGACCTGAGTAAATTGCTCTTATTACACCCAGTTTCCCCTCAGCAAGCTCCCGCTCCTGTTTTTATTTTATTTTATTTATTTATTCCTAAGGAGCACCGTTTTTTAATTTCTTCCTCTTGTGGTGCAGTACATCAACGGCGGCAACTTGGAGCAGCTGCTGAGCAGCGACGTGTATCTGTCGTGGAGCGTCCGGCTCAGCCTGGCTCTGGACATCGCTCGAGGACTGAAGTACCTGCACAGCAAGGGCATCTTCCACAGGGACCTCACCTCCAAGGTGACTACCTGCACGGAGGAAGACTTCCTCTTTAAATAGTGTTATAATATATACTGTACTCTACAGGGGCAAATGTGAATACATTGTTTTAATTAAAGGATTGAAGCAGAGAAACGTCTAAAACATGCAGGATGGCAGCCCTCGAGGACCATTAATCTAGGGCAGGGCTGTTCAGCTAAACTGTTCAGAGGGCCACAGTTGCCTAGGGCTGCCACAAACAATTATTTTTATAATTAATTAATCACCGATTATTTTCTCGATTAGTCGACTAATCAGATCATACGTTAACTGAATTTAAAACATAAAGCTTATCGTGCCAGAATGCAGCTGCTRTTATATAACCATCATCAGATTTTAGCTATATGCTAACTAAAAATAATTGCTGTGGAAGGTAAGTTCTGCTCTGCAGATATTGAACAGGTTTGTCTTTCATTTTCTTAAAATGATCCCACACTTTGAGCTCCGTTGTCAGGTAGCCATGATACCAGAGCCTGTCTGTATAATGTCTTGTGACGTCCACGGCCTACCCCAGTTACCACTACTGTGCGTGTGTGTCAAGGACAGAAAGGCAGATGTGGCAGTGGAAGGTGTCAAAGCAGTTTGGAGAGAAAAACAAAGAACAAAAGAAAAAAGAAAACGATTAATCGATTTATTAAATTAGTCATCGATTATTTTAATAATCGATTAGTCGTCGATTAATTGTTGCAGCCCTACAGTTGCCCACTAATAGTATGAGGAAACACTGCATTATTGTAAAAGAACAAGTATTCTTATTTGTTACCTGTTGCATTGAAGTGCCTGTGACGTCAAATTTTTGTAATAAATGAATGCACTTTTAAAAAGAGGACATTGATAAAATATTGCAAAAGAAATGTCATGTCGCTGAGATGAACAGTTGTTGAGATATTTGCCTGTGAAGTAACAGGAAGTGATGTCAAAGGGGACTGTCTGCATGTGAACAGAGTGTTGCTACAACAGCCGATAACCCAGACTGTAGAGAATAATCTGATGTTTCTATAGATTATTTTGAGTCACTATCAGAGATGAAGAAGAGGCAGAGTGCAGAAGAAACCAGAGAGTTTTCTTAAAGAGTTCCCCTTTGATGTCACTTCCTGTTTCACTTTGGCTGAGTCAAGTTCAAAAGAAAATATGCCAGTTATGGGACAAAATGGGTTAAATTATATTATTCCTACTTTCTTAAATATAAAGATGTTTTCTTTGACTTTTTGTATTTGAAGAGTAATGCATGTCAGAGGCACTTTAAGGTAAAATGTACACTTTATTTAAAATCTAACTTTAGATTAAATTAAAACAAAAAATAAAATAAAAACATACATATATATTTTTGTTGTGGGGGCTGGACGGAGGTCATCTGTGTACCAGATCTGGCCTGCGGGCCACCAGTTGAATAGCCATGATCTAGGATGTTTTAGGCAATTCTGTGTTTGTAATAAAAGTTTCTAATCATCTGACTTTATGTTGGGGGGGGGGGGGGGGGGG